GAGGCAGGAGAATTGCCTGAACCCAGGAGGCGGAGGTTGCGGTGAGCCGAGATGGCACCATTGCACTCCAGCCTGGGTAACAAGAGCGAAACTCCGTCTCAAAAAAAAAAAAAAAAATACAAAAAGTTAGTCAGATGTGGTGGTGTGCATCTGTAATCCCAGCTGCTCGGGAGGCTGAGGCAGGAGAATCACTTGAACCCAGAAGGTGTTGGTTGCAGTGAGCCGAGATCATGCCATTGCACTTCAGCTTGGGCAACAAGAGCAAAACTCTGTCCAAAAAAAAAAAAAAAGTAGTAGTTTTGATGGTAGAGAAGAAACTGAAAAGCGATTCCTGTTAGGAAACCAGTATACTTTCTGTTTTTTAGTGGAACTTCAGTCTGACTTCAGGGACATCGGCATGAATATGCTTTGTGGGGCAACCATACATATAGGCCCAGAATCCAAGATATCAGTACTTCATGTGCAAAATTTTTGGCACACATGTATATCTGCTGAAATATAAATAATTTGGAATAGGTGAGTGCCAGCCCCCAAAACCACAGGACAGGGCTGGTCTCATTCATAGCTCCTTTCTCCTCTCAGCCATGTCTACTTCTCAGAGTCCTACTTCTTCCCAGAAAGGAGGTTCTGGAAACGAGGAAATGACAGCTACACTTCTCACAGCAGGATTCCAGGTGAGTTGTGCTCTTTCTCATTGAAACTCCATAGCTTTGCTTGGCAGTGTTTGTGGTGTCTGCCCTATATCTAGACTGTCTAGTTTGTAGCAGTACTTACTTGTCTCAAAAATTCTTTTGCCTAGGGACAGATTGATCCTGAATTTCCCCCAATAAATCTCATGCATTTTCCTCTTCTTCCTGGCTATTCAGATCCCTTTACATAGTACATTCCCAAGTCTTAATCCTCTCCCAATACTGATGGATCTCTCAAACTCTAGGTTTGAGCTGTGAAACACTCCAGTCCCCAAATGGGTATCTTGTTTTCTTTCAGACTTTGGAGAAGATTGAAGACATGGCTGTGTCCCTTATTCGAGAAGAGTGGCTTCTTGATCCATCACAGAAGGACCTGAGTAGAGATAACAGGCCAGAAAATTTCAGAAACATGTTCTCCCTGGGTAAGGAGAGCTGTCATTATTATTGTCCTGTTAGATTTTTTTGTTTTGTTTATTGTTTATGTGTATGGTAACTACAGCCTTTCTGAAAGACATAGTTGAGTTTAAACTCAGGATCTAACAGAGGGTTATAATGTTGAGACTTCTTGAAGTTTTACATGAAACTCCTGTTCTCCTGTCCAGAACTTTCTTACATTTTGTGCCTGGGTACTGGCATGTTTGCCATTGGGGAATTGACATCTCACAGATACTTTCTGAGTTCATACATTTCCTCTCCAAGTGTCATGGGAATCCTTCGTAGATTTTTCTAACATAAATTAATTGTATGTTCTCCTTTTGATGACTATTTAGGGGCATTTGCCCATTTCTGTCCTACTAATTAGTTCTTTTAGTAGTTCCATATTCCTTCTCACTCCCCAATTTCACCTGACTTCAGTTGATCCTTTCCTGATTTTCGTTCCCCTTCCAATAACTCTCTTTTTTTAATGGCACCTCTTTCCTAGTTGACTAACTAGGAAAGTCACTATTAAGCAAAGTCACTATTAAGAAGCCATTTTGGAGACAGAAGTTTTGTGTTTACATATAGGTGTTCTATGTGTACTTTCCTTTTTCCCTATCTTCAGTTTCTCCTAGCATAAAGAATAAGAAGTGACTGTGGCTTGATGTTTATTTTTTACGTTTTAATTTCAGGTGGTGAGACCAGGAGTGAGAACAGGGAATTGGCTTCAAAACAGGTAATATCCACTGGAATCCAACCACATGGAGAGACAGCTGCCAAATGCAACGGGGATGTTATCGGGGGTCTTGAGCATGGAGAAGCCCGAGACCTTCTGGGCAGATTAGAGAGGCAGCGGGGAAATCCTACACAAGAGAGACGACACAAATGTGATGAATGTGGGAAGAGCTTTGCTCAGAGCTCAGGCCTTGTTCGCCACTGGAGAATCCACACTGGGGAGAAACCCTATCAGTGTAATGTGTGTGGTAAAGCCTTCAGTTACAGGTCAGCCCTTCTTTCACATCAGGATATCCATAACAAGGTAAAACGCTATCACTGTAAGGAGTGTGGTAAAGCCTTCAGTCAGAACACAGGCCTGATTCTGCACCAGAGAATCCACACTGGGGAGAAGCCGTATCAGTGCAATCAGTGTGGGAAGGCTTTCAGTCAGAGTGCAGGCCTTATTCTGCACCAGAGAATCCACAGTGGGGAGAGACCCTATGAATGTAATGAGTGTGGGAAAGCTTTCAGTCATAGCTCACACCTCATTGGACATCAGAGAATCCACACTGGGGAGAAGCCCTATGAGTGTGATGAGTGTGGGAAAACCTTCAGGCGGAGCTCACATCTTATTGGTCATCAGAGGAGCCACACTGGGGAGAAACCCTACAAATGCAATGAGTGTGGGAGGGCCTTCAGTCAGAAGTCAGGCCTTATTGAACATCAGAGAATCCACACTGGAGAAAGACCCTATAAATGTAAAGAATGTGGGAAAGCTTTCAATGGGAACACTGGTCTCATTCAACACCTGAGAATTCACACAGGGGAGAAGCCCTACCAATGTAATGAGTGTGGGAAAGCCTTTATTCAGAGGTCGAGTCTCATTCGACATCAGAGAATCCACAGTGGTGAAAAATCTGAATCTGTAGGAGTTTAGGAACAACTTCAGTTATCGTTTGAGCATTATTCAGCATTAGAGAAACCGCACACTGGTGAGAGGTCTTTCAGTGTACTAAAAAGCAGAAAGGTCATTGCAACTTTAGTGCCAGAATCTATAGTGGTGGCAAAGTTAGAATAGCTTTTTAGTAATTTGGGCCCAGTGCCTTCATGAAGATTGATTAGCTTGACTGTCTTTGAAAGTATCTGATGGAGCTCCTGATGGCCTAATATATCCTTTAGAAATTTAAAATAGCATTAGAGCAAGTTGCTTGTCATGGCTTGAGGCACTTAATTTTGTCTTTTGGGTGAGTAGCTATAGGATTGAGAGAGGCTGCTACTCCTAGTTCCTCTGCTTCTTCCTATCTCTTGTGATCCCCCTCCCATTTATTCCCTTGAAGGTGCCCTTGTATTCCTAATCTGATCTAAGAAGCTGCTCTAGAGTCAGAAGTAGCTTCTATGTGAAACTTATATTTGTATGTAGCTTTCTAGAAAAATTTTTACAGACACTTAATGTATTTATGCTTAAGTATGCATTTTTTTATTCTAAATTTCCTCTAGTCACTGGGAATTTGTATTCCCATACAAACTCAGAATGCTATATTTTTAACAGCACTCATTTTTCTTCATATATGACCTTCACTGACTCCATTGAGTCACTAAGCATTCATGCATATCCTTCATCACCCCCAGTCCCGGTACCTGTGTCAGCATAGGAAGTGGGTACACCAGTGATGATTATGGGAGTTAATACAGAGAAAGAAGTGAGTGGAAACTCAGCCCAGCTGTTCTTGAGCTTGGATAGTTATACATTTTGGTGACTTACGACTCTCCTTCCACCTCCCCACTGTACACTGTGGTACAAATAGATGCTTGCACTATCCTAGTTATGGCATCAGATAGGAGAAGGAGACAGAGGTGCTTTAGGAAGACAAAACTCCTTACAAAGAATGTATACTCATCCTTTTTGGCCCATTACAGTACTGCTTACTCAGGTTCTTATCAGCCTGTGCAAACTCCCTGACAAGATAGTCTGTCACTCCTGTCATTACCTTGCACCCACCTCTGTAGATGGCCTCAGCACCTCACTCATTATTCTCCATCTGTTTCTTGCCATTAGTTTATATGACTTTAATATCCACAGTGATAATCTAATACCTTACCTTACAGTTTTTCATTCTTTTGAACTCTGGTGCACTGCATCCGTAATCCATGTCTGTAATCTACCAACAAAGATATACTGTTAAACTCACTATCATCAGGTACTATATTTCATCTTTGAGGCTTTCACTATACCAAGGAATACTGTATAAAGTAATGAGACTTGTTTAAAGTAACATGCCAGAACTTACGCATCCAATGTGGGTTATCACTTGTTATTCCCAAGTACTGTTATTCCAGTAGTACTACTATATGCTTCCAAATATTTGGAACACTCTTAGAATTCCCATTTAATAAACAATATGAGAAAACCTTCTGTTACACTTCATTTTAATCATTTGAGTAGCCACTGATTTACCAGAGTTGGAATTGAGTAATTTTTGGCTTACCAAAATTTACCTTCAAACTTAAAATTGATTCCATTAAACCTATTCAGAAGAAAATTATATAGGTTCTGGTGAAAAGTTCACGATTTTACCCTGTGACTGTCCTGAAAAGGAATAACAGTTAATCATATTATTTTTTATTGATGAGTCAGAAAAAGCAATGAAAATCTTTCCTCATAGAGGACCACCTTTTGAGTCATCAATTCTTTCCCTATAACTTTCCTTCTCTGCCTCCCTAAAGCCCTTGACCACCAACATCATAGTTAATCTACATCAATTTCATTAAGCAGTTGGTGAATGAAGGCACCCATCATTTGTCACATTGGTTTTCAACAGTCCTTTTCATTGTCATTTATTTTCTTATCCTCCCGTCTCGTTTCTTTTTTTGATTTATAAGTTACCATTCCTAATTTCTTTGTACTTGAAATTTCAAGAAACCAAAAACAAGTAAGTCTGATTGTGTCTAGATCTTCACTCTCTGTTTTCAGTTGTGCCTTACGCTTTGTAAGATACCGATTCTTCCTGGGGCCAGTACTACGTTGTATGCAAATATTAAGTATGATGGCTTCATTGTCAGAGGGAAAATACGTGTGTGTGCACGTGTATGTACACACATACCTGCTGTACACTTAGGAATAGAGGAACAGTTCCCTTCTATTCCAATAAAAAGCCCTTTTAGCAAAGCAACATAATAACAAGATTGGGTACATTCAGGGTGGTATGGCCATAGACCAGAACAACATATTGAAGTATGTACAGATGTACCAGCTAAAGTCTCTTTATGCATCAGTATTCAGAGTAATGTATAGCCAGATTACTTAAATCTCAGAATTACTAAGCATCTGGCATAAATTCAGAGAAAATAATATGACTAGAAAAATTAGTGTTATGTTGGGGTATGTGAAAAGACTGTGTCTTGAAAGAATTATCAAAACTGATACAGCACATACATACAATTAGCCAAATAGTATAACACAATAGAAAAAGGCTGTGGATTCTTTGAGGACATCAGCAGAAGTCATTCTTTGTCTCAAGTTCACACTGTTAGCGTAGAATACTGTTGACTAGACTATATGACATTCTGAGCTCTTAAAACTGTGAATGGCATGCACTAAGCTCCTTTATCCTACAGATTCTATCTTTATGTTCATCTGAAATGAATGGTTCATCAGTACTTTCTCCTCCCATCCTAAGCTTCTCATTTTAGGACCTAACATGATAAGGTGGTTCTTCCATAATTCTTAACGCCATCCAACATAGCCCTGGAAGAGGCATCTTAGGTTTCAGAGATTTTCTCCATGGGGCAATGTGCAGTACTAGAATGTGTGGTTGATTCCCATACAGAGCAGTTAACTTCACTCTTGGTTCTGAGTCTCCAGATAATAAACGCTGACATTTATTAAGCACTTAGTGTGCCCAACCCTGTTACGCCTTTCTCAGGGTAATGATAGGTCTTTTCTCATGCTGCTAATAAAGACGTACCTGAGACTGGGTAATTTATAAAGGAAAGAGGTTTAATGGACTCACGGTTCCACATGGCTGGGGAGGCCTCACAATCATGGCAGAAGGCAAGGAGGAGCAAATCATGTCTTACATGGATTGTAGCAGGCAAAGAGAGAACTTGTGCAGGGGAACTAAACTTCTCTTTATAAAACCATCAAATCTCATGAGACTCATTATCACAAGAACAGGGCAAGAAAGTTCCGCCCCCAAGATTCAGTTACCTCCCACTGGGTGCCTCCCATGACACATGGGAATTGTGGGAGCTACAATTCAAGAAGAGATTTGGATGGGGACCCAACCAAACCATATCAGTAGGTATTATTTTATCCCCCATTTTATAGATGAGGAAACGAAGGCTTAGAGAGTTGAATAAGTTGACGGATGTCACATAGCCAGTAAGTGATACAACAGATTCTGACCCACAGGGTTTGATTCTAGAGCCTATGCTCCTGACTACTGTGCTATGCCGTGTATGATGAACATGATAATTCTAGCTAGCTGTTTAAAAATGCGTAGCCCGGCCGGGCACGGTGGCTCAAGCCTGTAATCCCAGCACTTTGGGAGGCCGAGGCAGGTGGATCACGAGGTCAAGAGATCTAGACCATTCTGGTCAACACGGTGAAACCCCGTCTCTACTAAAAATACAAAAAATTAGCTGGGCATGGTGGCGCGTGCCTGTAATCCCAGCTACTCAGGAGGCTGAAGCAGGAGAATTGCCTGAACCCGGGAGGCGGAGGTTGCGGTGAGCCGAGATCGCGCCATTGCACTCCAGCCTGGGTAACATGAGTGAAACTCTGTCTCAAAAAAAATAAAAATAAAAAAATAAAAATACGTAGCCCTTGTTATGGGGGTTATGGGGAAGAGAATATGGAGTAGAGTGCAAATACGTTATAATTACTGGAAATTTGGTTGAAAATGCCCTTTTGGGTTATAATTATATCATCTTTAAGTGTTGATGCTTTTTAGTACTACAGAGTTAAATTGTGCAAATAAAACATATTTAACAGAGTAACTGGGAGGATAAAGCAGTAATAAATTCAAATATATTTTTCTCTAAACTGCCTAAGGGGAAGTAGAATTGTGGAAGAAAATGAAATATCCATGTACCAGGCCAGGCAGATGGTCACTTAGGATGGCACTAGAAAATTCATCTATAGCATAAAATGTGAACTACTTTCAACCTCATTGCCTGTTTCCAACTACCATTCTGTTTCTCGTCTATTGCTCTATCATTCATGATTTTTCAAACATGTCTTCCATTTCTCAACCCCCCTTTTTCTCAACCCCCACTTTACGTTAATCTGTTCCTAAAACAACTTCTTACTGGCTTTTATACGTAGCATTCCAGTAAAACGTTCTTAGACTCACCTGTGGACAAATAGTAAGGCCTTTTTTTTTTTTTTTTTTTTTATTTTTTTTTTTTTTTTTTTTTTTTTTTTTTTTTTCTTGTCCTTTTTGATCTAATTTATATTTTATATTGTCGGATCATCCCTCCTTTGGCTTGTATGATCCTTTTTCTCCAATATCTGGCTTTTTGTTTTAACTGATCTTTCCCATTTCCTCTTCTCCCCTTCTCTACTGAGAATACTCTCCCTTACTTTTGTTCACTTCATCTTCGTTCTTTTCTTTTCTTTCCTTTATTTCTTTCGAGATGGAGTCTCACCCTGTTGCCCAGTCTGGAGTGCAGTGGTGCAATCTCTGCTCACTGCAACCTCCGCCTCCCGGGTTCAAGGGATTCTCCTGCCTCAGCTTCCCAAGTAGCTGGGATTACAGGCATGAACCACCACACCTGGCTAATTTTTGTATTTTTAGTATAGACGGAGTTTTACCATGTTTCTCAGGCTGGTCCCAAACTCCTGAACTTGTGATTCACCCGCCTTGGCCTCCCAAAATGCTGGGATTACAGGTGTGAGCCACCATGCCTGGCTCACTTCATTTTCTATACTCCTATGTATCCATTTTGATTGTTTTTTGTTTATACTTACTATTTGTATTCAAATGACTTCATTTTTCCCGCCCTGTGGGTCAGTTTGTGACTTTTGGAATTTTTCACAGACACCTATACAACTTGATATTTGAAAATAGGATTCATTATCATATACACCAAACCCCCATTTTCTTTTTAAATAGGCCTCATTGCCTAATGCCTTTGTCCTGAAAAGTGTCACCACCCTTCATATTTTTACCCCAACCTTGGAGTTACCTTTTTCTACTCTGCATTCTCCATGTCCAAAAACTTGCTGTCAGTCCAGTTTTTAATCAGTTTTGTCTTTGAGGCTTGATCTCCCGTTTGTCTCATCTCTGTATAGCCTTTCATGTAGATAAGAAGCCCAGGTTACTGTAATTCTTTTTTTCCAATTTCTTTGCTCTCAGGATCCCCATCTTGTGTAAAGTTTACAAGGTGATCCTCCTGAAACTCCATTTTTACAATGTCTAATTTTCACTAAGTAACACTCAGTAGATAATTCCTGTCAAGCAGTGGCGTTCCAAATTATCCATTACCCCTGTGCTTAATAGTTGTCAGCCTTCATTACTCTTTAGCATATTCACCTTGATTCAACAGATTCAAACTTCCTACAGCCACTGATGATGGCTTACCAGCTCTTGCTTCTGTGCCTTTCTCATGCTGTTGTTTTTGCTTCGTTGGTCTTTGGTCCCAGCTATGTTCATCGCTCCCTTCAAAGCATAGCTATCTTTATATCTTCTGAGTGAGCTCTCCCTGATTGGCATCACTCATGTGGTGACCTCCCTCATTCTGTGCTGCCTCAGCACTTATCTTTTGAGTTTGTACTGTCTCCATGCACTCACTAATATGTTGCTTTGTAATGATTTTCTAGCACTCTGTTACCGTTTCGTATTTGTATTTATTTCCAAAATTAAATTGTAAGCTCCTTGAGGGCAGGAAAAATTACTTTTATATTTGTATCTCTGCACCCCTTAGTGCCTAGTATAGTGCTGAGCACATAGTAGGCATTTAATAAATGCTTGTTGAAGTATTGTGTGGATTATTTGTGGTGTTATCTACAGAAGTTTTTAAGCTGTTTTCAAGAATGTCTGTTACCACTTTGGGTGCTCAAAAATGTAACCTGTTTCCATATACTAGTATAGTATATCAGGATCTACCTGTACCTAAAAGTAAGGCCAAAAAAATTCAACTTTAGGAGAGTATGTGTGAAAAGCTGAAGCTCTCCATTTGGCTAGCCTTGTTTGTCAAGAAAGAAAATAAGAAGCACTAAAGACTATTGTGTTAAGGTTATAATTCCAAAGTGCTTGAGAATAGGTTTTGTGTATCAGATTAGTGGTTCTCTTTGGGAGAAATTTGGCAATGGCTGGGGACATTTTTGGTCATACCATTGGTGGGCAGCTGGGATGCTGCTGGCATCTAGTGGGTAGAGGCCAGGGATGCTGCCAAACATCATGTTTGCGGAGGACACCCCCGACCCACCCTGCCCCACAACAAAGAATTATCTGGCCCCAAATCCTTAATGCTGAGGTTTCAAGACTCAATATATTTAAGGTAAATAGGAGAAAGAGATATGAAGTACTGGCAATACAATTAGAAAAATTAGCTCTGCCTAGCTTTAAGAGAATCCTAAGTGTGTGCATATTTTGTGGTTTGTAAAACTATAAAATGAAAAGAAGCCTTAGTGTTTGGTGTTCACAGCAACATATGTCAGTGTTGATAAACCATAAAATTTTTGATCATGTTTTAGGGTTGCTTTCAGCATCAGATCTGCCATCATCCCTATGCCAAATGTTTCGGCATACAAGTGTCACAGAAATACAAATCTAGTTTTAGTCTTCCACACCTTGGTTCATTATAGCATCAAAGGCGAAACACTGGGGGCTGTCTTTAGCAGAGGGACTGTAACATCAAAGATTTAGCCTTGAGAACAACGTGACTCTCAGTTCCTTGGACAGCCACTAGGCTGGAATTACCAGCCCTCCAAGGAAACCACAAGCCAGAATATTGTCAGTTTGCCAAGTAAAATCATTCCAGTTTTACTTGTTTTTAACATACTGTTTTAATGCTATTTTGGAAGGCAAATATGTAGGAGGAAATGTGATTCCCAGGATTAAATCTTTAAAAAGCAGGCCTCTAGAAGCACTAGCTTCCATCTGCAGTTCAATGGCACTTTATTCAGCAGGTTTAGAAAGTTTCAACACCTGGGTTCAGTGGTTCATGCTTGTAATCCCAGCACTTTGGTAGGATTGCTTAAGGCTATTCAAGAGCAGCCTGAGCTACAGGAAGACTGTACAAAAAAGTTCAAAAAATAAAATTAATAGGCTGTGGTGGTATGCGTCTGTCGTCCCAGCTACTCAAAAGGATACGGTGGGAGGATCTGTTGAGCCTGCAGTGAGCTATGATTGTGTGACTGTACTCCAGTGCCACTATGATTATGCCACTGGGCAACAGGTCTCAAAATAAGTTCAGCCCAAGTTAGAAAATCAGTTTAAATGTGTAATACACTAAAGAAATAACTGCTTGCTCTGTCGTATTTAGTAATTCATAGTCTAGAACGCTAGGCTTAGTGTTGCAATCCATTATTCTACAAATGGGGGCTCAAAGATGCCACTTGGTTGGGTTTCCTGGGGCTTTGCCCATTTCTTTTCTCCCCTAGTTATGCCTTCAGCTGTGATCCTTGTATATTCTTAATTCATGCTCTGCCATAAGATGGATTCAAACTTTGTGCCTCCACGTGTAATGTTTCATTCTAGGAATTATTCCTTTTATATGCTTTATATCCAAACCATTATATTTACTGACCACAGTGTTTTGAGTTAGATTCTTTCATAAATAACTGAATATCCAGAGAGATTTTGCAGTATGGCAGTCATGTTTTGAAATTATTGCTCTTGGGTCTGGTGCTTTCGCTTTGAGAAAGCACACAAGATATAATGTGTTGGCTTTCAGATCGCTAATAACTAAGACCAGAGTTGTGTGGCCCCGTGTGCCGGTTTAAGGAATCCTGTAGGGCCCATACAAGGTATTTCACCAGCTGCACTAACTAAATTCCAAGATTCCCGGGTGGTCCTGCCCTGGGTAAAACTCAGGAAGTAAAAGCAACCTTCCGGAGAGGTGAGGTAAGAAGTCAGAGTATTGCCCACGGCCTGGAGCAAACCGCTCCCAGTCTAGACCCTGCCACACCGCCGCCGGCGTAGGTGGCGGTTGCAGCCCCTTTCTGGCAACCTCGGGCGCCGACAGGCCCCGCCCAGCCATTTCCGGGTCACGCCCCGGAAGTGCTGAGAGGGACTTCCGCCCGCGGCGAGGCCTCGGAACTGGTCGCTGCTCATTGGCGGAGAAACGCTGGTATGCATTTGGGTGCCGCTGGGGTGGGTGTTGCACAGCTACAACCCCTCAGGCCTCCTCTCCGCTCCTCCCTGGGTGGAATGTGGGCAAGAACCCCAGGAGAGGCAACCCCTCCTGGGACGGTGGGCATTGTACCCAAATGCAGTCTTCCAGGAAAGGGTTTTTTTCTCGAGATTTAGTGCTGCAGGGGCCCAGAGCTGGGACTACTTCCCTTTCAGTTACAACCCTGGTCTTCACTGCCGTCTTCAGAGAGCTTCATTGAGTATCAACTTCAAGTGTGCTTCTGGTACCAGTTGGTATCACTGCCCACCAGATCTTCAGCTCCCTTTTTCAGCCAAAAGCGAGAGATTGCAGATAATTGGAAATAAAGTGTTCGGTGCTCTAAATTCAGGAGAGGCTTCTTTCATCACTTAACTGTGCCCGTGACATTTCCTTTTGTTTATGTTTTGAGACGGAGTTTCGCGCTCGTTGCCCAGTTTGGTAAGTGTAATGGCGCGATCTCAGTTCACTGTTCCAAACCTACGCCTCCTGGGTTCAAGTGATTCTCCTGCTTCACCCTCCTGAGCAGCTGGGATTACAGGCATGTGCCACCACGCCTGGCTAATTTTGTATTTTTAGTAGAGATCTGGTTTCTCCTTGTTGGTCAGGCTGGTCTCGAACTCCCGACCTCAGTCGATCCACCCGCCTTGACTTCCTAAACTGTTGGGATTACAGGCGTGAGCCGTTGCGTGCGTGGCCGACATTTCCTTTTGAATGCAGAATTTGTTTTCTCTCTGCTTCAACTTGGCAATAAATGGCTACCCTTCCATTTAGCAGTCACTTCCATCCACGCCAGGGCCACCTTACAGCACCTCAATGCTGTTCTCTCATGAGCCCTTCCTCTACTCCAAGCAGTGCTCAAAGGCAATGGGGAAGATTACCACCACAGACCTGCTGCCCTAGCATGTGATCTCAAAGCCCTTTGCAAATTAGCTCCTTATTTAACATTGCACTCCCCACGCCACCACCCCACAACCCTTAGTAGTTAGTGTAACAGCTATGGCAATCTTTGCTTTTTCTTTGAATAAAATAATGTTTCTTTTACAGAAGTGTTCCGGAAAACTCTTCAATTACAGGAAAAGGTGCATGACTGCATCTTCAGAGGATTTGGTTTTGCTGGTACCAAGGATTCTGCTAATGAGAAAACTCCACAGTCCGGCATACTGTAAGCTGGCTCCAGCAGCCCAGTTGACGATGGCTGAGGCCAGTTCCCGATCATCCTGTCTGAGAAACACCAGGTCTGGGAGAGGGGAGCAGTACTGACCAAGGGGAGGGAGGATTTTCCTTGGTTAAGTGGCTAAGCTGGATGATTTCAAGGGATTGGGTGAATCCAGACAGCAGGTGGGGAGAGAGAGCATTAAAACTTTTAGTCTCTTAGGAATTCTTCTCTTTTTTACCCTACTTTTTAACCATGTAAGTCAGAAGCTGGACTACCTTTGATTTTGGCGACGTCATTTTATCTTTCTGTGCCTATATGTCATCTGTAAATGGCCATAATAAAAGCACCTGTCTAGAGTTGTTATGCGGATTACATGAACAGTACCTGCTAGATAGGAAATGCTATCTAGGTATTCGTTGTAATTATTACTTACTCTCCTTACTTCCCTGGAGTTGGGCTGTTCTGATTTATTCCTTTCTACAGTGATTATTTCATAAATTCATGTGTTTAATGTTTTCTGGCCCCAGCTCTTGCATACAGTCAGGAAGTAGGCATGAAATGCCAGCTCTGGAAGCAGAGGGAGAATAAGATAGTTATTCTCTAGTGCCACCAGGAATATACCACTGAAATGTCAGTGACAGACTCTTCCCTCTACAGGCAAGTTGTGCTAAACTTTGACGTTGTGTGGTCTTCTGGGAAGTCTGGAAGTAAGGTACCTGAGGAGACTTTTTAAAAAACTGCTATATAACAGGGTCAGGATAAGTGAGTTGTGAATGCTTAGCAGAGTCTGATTAAGTTCAGAGTGAGGCTGGAATGGGAGAGAATCCAGCTCAGATCTGCTATTTCCACGTTTTTTATTGTTCAGGAGCTTCATCTTGGCTGCCAGTTGTCAGAGATAGAAATTGTAAATATTTTTCCATTTTTTTGTCTTTGACTTTGCTGAAAGTACTTTTGTTTGTTTTACCTCACAGGAGTTTTTATTCTCTCTGTGTGGGTCAAGTTTATCAAACTTTTCATTAATGACCTCTGGATTTTGGCTCATAAGGAAGAAGGCCTTCTACTCTGAGGTTATAAAGGACTCACCTCATGTATTCCTCTGGTACGTTTATGGTTTCATTTATAACATTTAAAACTGATTTATTTGGAATATATCCTAGTTTATAAAGTAGAAATCTAATTTACTGTTTTTCCAAATGATTATCCAGTTCTCCCCATGCATTTGAAGAGTTCACTTTTTTTTTTTTTTTTAACTTATTTGCCACCTTTATCAACATGCTAAATTTATGCCTGATGCCTGATTGTGTCTATTTCTGGGCCTTCTATTCTGTACCATTTGTCTATCATGAGCACCACACACTTTAAGTATTAAGTCTTTATGTTTAAAGTTCTTTTTTTTTGAGACGGAGTTTCGCTCTTGTTACCCAGGCTGGAGTGCAATGGCGCAATCTCGGCTCACCGCAACCTCCGCCTCCTGGGTTCAGGCAATTCTCCTGCCTCAGCCTCCTGAGTAGCTGGGATTACAGGCACGTGCCACCATGCCCAGCTGATTTTTTGTATTTTTAGTAGAGATGGGGTTTCACCATGTTGACCAGGATGGTCTCGATCTCTTGACCTCGTGATCCACCTGCCTCGGCCTCCCAAAGTGCTGGGATTACAGGCGTGAGCCACCGGGCCCGGCCTATAATATGTTTAAAGTTCTTGTGGACAAGTGCCCTTCTTTCTTAGTTTTCCCAGGTAGTCCTGTGTGTTTAGTCTTCTAGGTGAACATTAAAATCAAAAAAGTTGATATTTTATGGAAATAGTGTTGAATTTACAAATTAATTTGGTGATTACTCTCTGAGTGCTAACCCCTTAGGAGGCATAAAGTGGCTTAATCTGAAAAGCAAGGCCTAGATTGAATTTCATCCTGGCTGTTTTAATGGGTGTCTGACCTCAGAAAATTTATTTGCTTCTCAGTTTTTATATATATGAGAGGAGGACTTTAATGTCTGTCCTGTAGGATTGAGAGAGATAAAAAGCATAAAACGCCTTTTTGGGAGTAAACAATCCTTTCTTCACACCTTCCATTCTGGTCAGCTCACAAACCACTGAGAGAGAAGCCTCCAGGATCCTAGAGTGGAAGACCAGATGCCCAGACACAGGATATGCAGAAGTCAAAGTCAACCTTTCTAGGCCAACAGCTGTCCTGTCACTTGGTCAGTTAGTCTAATCGCAGTTTTCCAGGTGAGTTCCTCTTGACTTTCTTCTAGGGTTTTGCATGTGCCCTGGGGTGAACACCCTCTGACAGTGGGAAAAACTGTGTACTGTGCCAGGTCGCCTCAGGCCTACCTTTTCCCTCCATCCTTCCCCACCCCTCCCTTCTTCCACCCACTTTCACACTCCACCCCTTTTCTCCAGCCCCATCAACCTGCCTCTTCTTTCTCTTTCGCTTCCCTATCCCATCCTTGCCTGGCCCTTCTGCACTGGCAGTGGACCCTCAGAAGCCCTGGGAGAGAAGATAGCTGGGACAGGCTGATGTCTTGAGTCCTGTCCCTGGCTGTCTCTGAGGCTTGTAAGACTCCTAATTACGGCCGGGCGCGGTGGCTCAAGCCTGTAATCCCAGCACTTTGGGAGGCCGAGGCGGGTGGATCACGAGATCAAGAGATCGAGACCATCCTGGTCAACATGGTGAAACCCCGTCTCTACTAAAAATACAAAACATTAGCTGGGCATGGTGGCGCGTGCCTGTAATCCCAGCTACTCAGGAGGCTGAGGCAGGAGAATTGCCTGAACCCAGGAGGCGGAGGTTGCGGTGAGCCGAGATCGCGCCATTGCACTCCAGCCTGGGTAACAAGAGCGAAACTCCATCTCAAAAAAAAAAAAAAAAGACTCCTAATTACAGGAGTGACTCCAACTTGCTTTTCTGACAGGGCTAAATTTCCAAGGGTGGAGTGCAGGAATAGAGGCCTTATTTTCTCTTGGTCCTGGATCCTCAGTTCTGCTTTGCACTGGTTTTTATTGTTGATGTTGTCGTTGTTCGTATGTTTTGTAGAATGTCACTCAATTGGGATTTAACTGTTTTTGTCATTATTATACTGAGGTTATATGTTCTGGGGAGGAAAACCACAAAGGTAAAATGCCATTCTCGTATAAAAGGTGCATACTGTCAACTTATAACTGTCGAGACATAAAGCAATTTGTGAGATTGAAAAAGAGAAGGGTAATTAGTGTAATTTGAGTTTAGAGCAAAAATTTTATCAAGTTTGGACACAAAACTAGGTTTATGCCCAAGAAAGTAGCAGCCATCCCTTTTCTTTGGAGAGGTGAGGGTTTATTCTGTCACAGTTCCAGCAGAGACAAAGCATCCCTGTTGCTGAGGTAGTGTTTATCATAGCAATAGCGACTGCAAAAATAGTAGCAGCATAGTAGCATAGCAATGAGCAGAGCTTTTTTGGTCCCCATGTCTCTCATTCCAAGTGTTATGGACTCCTGTGGGTGGTAAAACATACCTGTTAATGGTGTTATTGGCATTTTCCCAAACTTCTTATCAGTTGATTTTGTTTCTGTTGCCATCTCTTTTCCCGTACTCCTTCATCTGCTCTATCTGCAAATCTCTTCCATTTCTGTCTTGTTTTCCTATTTAATTAAATATGATTCGCCCTTAAAAGTAGGAACTATATATTATTTTTATATTCATGTATATTCCAGATTATGTGTTTTAGATGCCTTTATAGAGGATATTTTATTTATTTATTTATTTATATTTTTTGAGACATGCTCTTTTTCTGTTGCCCTGGCTAGAGTGCAGTGGCGTGATCATAGCTCACTGCAGCCTCAGTATCCCAGACTCAAGCAATCCCGCCTTTGCCTCCCAAGTAGCTGGGATGATAGGCGTGTGCCATGAAGATATATTTAAATAGCCATTTGAGGCAGGTATCCATTCCAACAGTTCTTTGATGTTATTGAGACATGATACAGGCTGAATGAAAACATTTTATCTGAGTGCCATATGACTGGTGTGTCCTGGGATTATTGAACGTGTTTGAGAGCTCTAGTCTGTATCATATTATGTTGCTTTAGTAACAGGGAATAAAGCACATTTCAAAGGTGTGTTTATTATTTTAGGACTCAAGGCCAGAGGTGTGAACAAGGTGTCAACTATAAAGTGAAGATTTTTCTAAGGATGGACCCACACCAGAAGGTCCCTAGCATATATAACGGGAATACTTTACAGACTCCTGGGTATGAAAAAGTCTCTAAGTATAAGGACCAGTTAGAAAGGCACGAGGGTAGGCGCATGGAAGAAAGACGGTATAAATGCAGTGAATGTGGAAAGAAGTTTGCCCAGAGCTCGGGGCTTGTTCGACATCAGAGAATCCACACTGGAGAGAAACCCTATGAGTGTGATCACTGTGGAAAAGCCTTTAGCGTGCGCTCAACCCTCACTGTGCATGAAAGAATTCACACTGGTGAAAAGCCTTATTCCTGTAATGAGTGTCAGAAAGCCTTCAGTGTAAGGGCACACCTGATTATACATCAGAGAATCCACAATGGAGAGAAACCCTATGAATGTAATGAGTGTGGCAAAGCATTTAGTGTGAGCTCAGACCTTATCAAACATCAGAGAATCCATAGTGGTGAGAAACCTTATGAGTGTGATGAGTGTGGAAAAGCTTTCAGTGTGAGCTCAGCCCTCATCAAGCATCAGAGAATCCACACAGGAGAAAAGCCATATGAGTGTAAGGAATGTGGAAAGGCCTTCTATGTGAACTCAGCACTTATTAATCACCAGAGGATTCACTCTGGAGAAAAGCCCTATGAGTGTGGAGAGTGTGGAAAAGCATTCAGCCAGATCTCAACCCTTATTCATCACCAGAGAATCCATACTGGAGAGAAACCATATGAGTGTGAAGAGTGTGGGAAAGCTTTCCGTGGGAGTTCTAATCTTACTAAACACCAGAAAATACATGTCAAAGGAAAGTGTCATCAGTGATTTATGTGGGAAGTATATTCCAAAGGGCTTTTGTTACATCAGAAGATACCATCAAAAGAAGAGTATAGTAAAAGTTAATGCCTTAATTGACACTTTACCCTTGAAATATTGAAGTGAGAAATCACTGAAAAGTAGCTCCATCAGCATTGTGGCTCAGGCTCTAAAATCACATCTACTTCTGAGAATGTAATTTTACAACTCATAAGGTAAAGCCATTTAAAAACCATATGGTATAATGTAGTTTGTGTTGACTTAGAGCAAACCAACAATTCAAACATTTTTCTCTTGTGAGGAAGCCTTTTGTTGTTTTATTGCTATTGATGTTATGGATAAAACAGTAAATTTTGAAATTGGAAGCAATGTTGGTTGGTGAAAGAGGAAGGACATAGTTGAACCTGGAAAATAACAACCCATTGATCTTTCTTTGCCTTTGCTGTACCACTCTGCTCTTAGGATGATTAGATGTGTTTGTGACCTCTTGGCAGAAGATAGAGTATCTCTTTAGGTTGGAATCCCTATAGATAATTTTTAAGGTGATTCTTACATAGTCAGAAAGCTTCAAACCTTTTGACTTACTGACTCAATAAGCTTTTGAATTTGACTGAGGTTCCTCAACCAATGCAAACAAAAAGACAAGAACTTTCCAAGGAGATTTAAATGTTTCTGACTTCTGACCTTTGTTCATAGCTGATCATAGCTCACTACTGTGTGCAGTGTCATATAGGCAAAGGCTCTGAGGTATAAGAATGGGACACCTGGGGAATTGTCGAAGTCGGTGTTGGTTTTAGGATGACAATGTGAAGCTCAATACCTGATGCAACCAAGAGAGCTCAGATTTGATAGGTGTGTTTGATTTTGAAAATGTTTTTGTTGTGTGTGGGAATCCTACTACAGCTGTCCACCAGACTGTAATCTGACTTCTTAACCCTAATCCCCAAAGCCTATATTTGCACATGTACTTTGTTACTATTTTTTTTTCCTTTTGAGACAGGGTCTTGCTCTATCACCCAGGCTGCAGTACAGTAGTGTGATCCCACCTCACTGCCACCTCAGCTTCCTGGGCTCCAGTGATCCTCTTAACCTCCCAAATAGCTAGTTCTACAGGTGTGCACCACCATGTCTGCTAATTTTTTAGTTTTTGTAGAGACAAAGTCTTATTATGTTACCCAGGCTGGTCTCCACCTCCCCTATTCAAGTGATCCTCCCATCTTATCCTCCCTAAGTGCAGGAATTACAGGCATGAGCCCCCGGGTTAGGCTACTTTTCTATTTTAACAGTAATTTCTCCCTCCTGAGTAATAGTCCTGAAATTTTTTATCCTAAAATTTAATTCATGTGAGGTTCAAGATGAATATGCCAAATCAGTGGAAATTGCAGATTGCTTTGATGGTTCACATTTGGAATAAATTGTAGAGAACACTATCTGTGAAGGTGAATGATGTTCACTTCTCAGAAAGAGACTGTGTTGCAAAGGGATGGCCAGTTTCCATGAATTATCCTAATTAGCACTTCAGGCAGGTCAGCTATAAAACACTCTGGACTTCATGAAGCTCTGAGCCAACTTGTGGCCAGTAGGCACTAAGGTCAGAGATGCATGTGAAAAAGCACATGATGAAGCCTCTGATATTGGAGTAGTGCCTACCACCCTGCACAAGGCCTGGATATGGGGATTGAAGACAAAGAAGATCATGGTTCTGGAGCTCAGGTTGGGGAAATGGACCTCAGTCAGGGAATGCGGCACATTAGAGAAGGTAAAACACATACTGTACTTATAGCAGAAGTGAAGGGCTTCAGGAAGTTCTCTTTGTTGTGCTAAGTTCATGTGTGAATTCCTTTGCCTGCTTCTTCCTGTCTTTGGCAATTGAAGGAGACTAGTTTTTCCTCAATTTGACCTATAACCCATTTCTGTGCTGTTATCTTTAATGTTTTTAGTGTTTATCTTTCTAACCCCAGCTGTCTTCGTTTGTTTCTAGAATGGAGGCTTACAGACAGAGTCATCTGGCTGGAGGACACCCTTCTGGAATCAGTACTGAAATGAATGCCATATCCCACTCCAAACCAGCATGACTATAAATACTAAGCAGTGAGTGTTATTCTGAAGACTTTGAAGGAGAAGCTATTTCTGAAAATAAATGTATTTTGTTGAGGAATTTAACCATTAAGGGATCAGGATATGTGTACTATGGTTATTTCTTTCGAGCTCAAAGTAAGGTACTAGTGATTATTTTTTTTTAGGTTGGGTATTGTGCCAGGTGCTAGGAATACAAAAATCAGTGAAAAAAGCACCCTAATTTCGGGGGGCTTACAGTCTGTTTGGTGGCAGGGAGAAGGGAGTAGATAGAAAACAGCAAATACTGTAATAAAACCACTGAATTTGTAGAGTAGTTTGCACCGAAGAAGATTTAACAGTGACTTACAAAAACAATGGAAAAGGTTTTGGAGGAGGACGAAAGCTTGGAGGAAAAAATGAGTTCTTTAGCCACATAATAAAGAAGGAGGGAAGGCACAGTGGCAATAGCATATGAAAAAGCATAGTGCCTCTGGGGGGAAAGAAGGAAGTTTTCAAGGACGTTGATTATGTTTCAAGGATCATAGAATGTGCATATGAAAGTAGCATATTATAGCTAGACCATGATATTCTTTGTTTGTTCTCCTAAAAAGCTTGAAACATATTCTCTAGGCCAGTGTTTCTGTGCAGTAAGAAACACATTTTATGTTGTGAACTCAGTGTACCATTTTTGGGAGAGGCCATCCTTCTTGGGCCTTGCACTCCTACCTGCTTTGCTGAGTGTGCCAACATTGCAAGGGCATGGCAGCTCTTTTACTCAGGGCACTTTTTAATTGTTATTCAGCTAGTAACCTTGAAAGATGAGGTGACATCTCTTGGAACAAGCGTAGGTTAGCTTGCTTGCTTACTTAATTCTTATTACAGAACACTGTTTGGTATTCTTTTGGAAAGTTCCTATTCAATTCTTGTACGTGTTTGTAGGAATTATTTATATATCCTGGATATGAGCTCTTTTCATAGAAGATGCAAATATTATCTCCATCTCCATAGCTTGCCTTTTATTCTCTTAATGGTGTCTTTTGATGAATATAAGTTTTTAATTCTAATATAGCCCAGTTTATCAGTCTTTTCTTTCTCACGTGTCTTGTTTTGTGTCTTTTGAAGAATTCTTTCTCTGCCTTAAGATCATGAAGATAATCTCTACCATTTTAAAAACTTTTCTAATTTGCTTTCTCATTTATATCTGTAATCCATTTGAAATTTATTTTTCTGCCTGAGTGAGGTAAAGTCTAATTTCATTCTTTTCCCATATAAATATTCTTTTCATCCTTCATCACTTATAGAAATGCCTGTCATTTACCACTGTTCTTAATTAATGCCAATTTGTCATTAATTTTCCAAAAATGCATGGATCTGTTTCTAGTTTCTCTGTTATGTTCCATTGCTTTCTTTGGCTATCCCTGCATCAATACCAGATTTTCCTAATGAGTGTAGCTTTACATTGTTCTGGTATCCAGTAGAGCAAAACATCCCACCTTGAAGAGTCAGACTCCAGGCCAGGTTTCTACGTGTCGTTTTTCAGGCCCAACCATAGGGAGTTACAAAGGCCTTATGCCTCATGAAGGAAAGTTACCTGCTCATGCCAGATTTGGGGCACAGCCAATGCATTGCATGGATTCAACCAACTGTGTATTGTCAGTATTCAAAAATAAATAAATAAGTTATCTTGATCCTGATCTTCAGAACCTGCCTTACCTGAAAATTTAACATTTCCAAACTACCTATGTGTGAGCCAGCCAGCACTAGCTGAGAAGAGTTTCACATTTTCTTGACCCTGTTCAACCTGCATAAAAACAAGACTTTAGAACAGGTCTTACTTGGTGGTTGCACAGTTCAATAAAACATTTTAGGTTGAACTCCATTGATATCTGGTTTCTAAAATAATAAAATATTTTTAAAATACAGTATAACAACTATTTATACAGCATTTGCATTATATTAGGTATGATCAGTAACCTTGAGATGATTTTCAAGTATATAGGAGGATTTGTGTACTTATCAGCAAATACTATGCCATTTTACATGAAGGACTTATGCATGCTGAGGTGTCCTGGAACCAGTCCCCAACAGATACCGAGGAAAGACTATATACAGTCAGTTCTCATTACTTATAGTTAGTTGGATCCTATGTTTGCCACAAACACCGAATTAATAAGTACTAAACTGTTGTTTCTAGAGGAGATGCAGGGTTAAATTTCTGTGAGCCTTTAGTCACAACATTTTCATCAGTTCATATGTCATTTGCATTGTAACCATTTGTTTGCCAGCATCATAAAACAAACCAGTCTATCTCATCAGGGTTTGAAAGCAGATCTTTGTGTATACCATGTAACTCTTTTGTGGCTGGCTTATTTCTTTCAACATGGTGAGATGTATCCATGTTATTGAATATAGTTATAGTTCATTCTCCCATGAAATTTCTAACTTAGTGAAGCATTTCTACATGAGGCTAAGAGAGTATGTTCAGGGATTTGCTTTACATAATCTTGCTTTTGATAATCAAAAGGGTTAGACTTAAAGAATCTGAATGGAAAGTTAAATGATCATCAAGTAGTATCTCTCAGATTTCACACACAGTAAGCAAGTATTCACTTAAGATTCAGGATTGGCCGGGCGCGGTGGCTCAAGCCTGTAATCCCAGCACTTTGGGAGGCCGAGGCGGGTGGATCACGAGGTCAAGAGATCGAGACCATCCTGGTCAACATGGTGAAACCCCGCCTCTACTAAAACTACAAAAAATTAGCTGGGCATGGTGGCGCGTGCCTGTAATCCCAGCTACTCAGGAGGCTGAGGCAGGAGAATTGCCTGAACCCAGGAGGCGGAGGTTGCGGTGAGCCAAGATCGTGCCATTGCACTCCAGCCTGGGTAACAAGAGCGAAACTCTGTCTCAAAAAAAAAAAAAAAAAAAAAAAAAAAAAAAAGATTCAGGATTGAATTCTGTGAAAAGCATCTGTTATCACATATTCTTTATAGCTACCTCGGATTCTTTTTGTAATGATTTAGGGGATGGATGCATGAATAGATAGCTAAACTTTACTCTTACCCAGATATAAAGCCAACCCACTTCAGCATGAGCATGAGTAGTAGACGAATTTCTTTCTAAGTAAACACAATTTATTCCTCAGGAAAAAACTCTGGATCTTCTACATCACAGTTTGGGTGCTTAGTTGCGATTCCAAACTTCTTTATCGAAAAGTTGGAAAGCTTCAGCCTGGAAGATGTTTAGAACAAGTCGCACTTGGTGGCTGCACAGTTCACTAAAACATTTTAGGTTGAGCTCTATTGACGCCTGATTTCAAAACGTATTTCCATTACTATAACTACTTCCAATCTTTCCCTCCTTTGACCTCCCATAGCACACTGTTTCTTTCTTAGAGGATTTATCTTTTGTTTTGGTTTGTTTGGGTTTTTTTTGTTTTGAGCCAGTGTCTCACTTTGTCGCTCAGCCTGGGATACAGTAGCAGGATATCGACTCAAGGCAACTTCTAATTCCCAGGTTTAAGCAATTCTTATGCCTCAACCTCCTGAATAGCTTGGCCTACAGGCATGCACCACCATGCCCAGCTAATTTTTGTACTTTTCATAGAGATGGCGTTTCACCATGTTGCCCAGGCTAGTCTCGAACTCCTGAGCCCAGGCGATCTGCCTGCCATGGCCTGCCAAAGTGCTAGGATTACAGGCTTGAGCCACTGTGCCTGGCTGTTTTACTTTGTATCTGTCTCTAGTCCTGCTCCTTTGTGAGTTCTTTGACTACAGGATTATTATTATTCTTCTTTATGGATTCTTTGCAGCCCTGCATATGGTGAGATAGCTTGAGATTGCACAAGTCATCTTGGGCTATTATGATCAATTAATTTTTTATTATGTAACCAACAATATCCCATATCTCAGTGGCTTGCAATAACATAGCTTTATTCTTATCACACATCAGTTATGGGTCATTTGCTGTTGTGCAATACATTCTCTCTATTCTAGGATCCAGGCTACAGGAGAGTACTACCTTGAATGTGCTGTTCTTATGGCAATAGAAAAGAACAATTGTAGAATTATGTGATGGATTTAAATTAGCTACTCAGGAGGAGCATATGTCACTTTCACTTCATTAGCTAAAACAAGAAAAATTACGAAGCCTATTTTCTATGGGATGGGGAATATAATCCTTACAAAGAAGGCAGTGTGTAATTAAGAACAATAACATACTCTATCATTGAAATATTGTATATACTCCGAGAGCCAATATTTAGGGAATGCTTTCTCTACCAGGGCTTTTCTTGAATGTCTTATATGTATATTTTTCTCAATGAACAACAATGTTATGAGACAGATACTTCTGTATTCTCATTTTACAGCTGAAGAAGTTGAGGAACAGAGACATTGAATACCTTGTCCAAGATCATGCAGTTAGGAAATAAATGGTAGAGCCAGTGAAACCAGAAGTCTGACTTCACAACCTTTTCTCTTAACCACAGTGCTGTATTATGAGAGTTTTAATCTGAAGGTTTATTTTCATGTACCATGCTGGGCTTTCAAGAGTTATGAAGGTGCTAGTAAAAACTCTAAAAGTGAGATTCAGGAGCCCTTGGTCTCATCCTGTCTTTACCTCTGAGTAGCCATATTACCTAGACTCATGCCCCCTACCTGGGCCTCACTTTCTATATCCTTACAAATAATGCCCCCTACCTGGGCCTCACTTTCTATATCCTTACAAATAAGGTAAACAGAACAGATATTCTCTGATACCCCTTCAGCTTTGAATTTTTTATTCTTTCTCCAAGTGCATAGTAAAATACTTTGCTGATGTTGCTGTGATGACCTCTTTCATCTTCTGCTTTCTATGTTACTATCTTCATAGTAGATCTTGTATCAGTATTGAATCTTCCCCAACCCTCTTCCTTCTATTTTACTTTAATGATACTACTATTACTACTACTTTCTACCATTTATTGAGACCTACTGTTTCAGAACAGGAAAATAAACCCGAAGAAAACTGAATGAAGAAAGTACTAAAAATAAGAGCAGAAATTAATGAAAAAGCAAACATATATCCTTACTTAGAGCCTTCATATATAAATAATGTGTTTTAGATAGGTTCTCTCGGAAGGCTGCCCATATATATTACATTAGAATTCCACTTTCTGTCTCCAGGGAAAAGGTGCTAATTGCATAATCAACTTGATCTTTCAGATAGTGACTCCTGACCTTAAACAAGGAGTCTGTTTCAAAGCAGAGTTTTCCAGAAGAAGTCCAACACAGAGTGATGTCCAGGGGACTAAATAGAAACATTTTTCAGGGACCCAACACTGAACAAGTTCATGGGCTTGTGAATAGTTTACCCAAGTGAGGGGACATCCGCCCTTGGAAAAAGCACAACAGACATTGCCTGAAGCTGAGGAGAATATCACTGATAAAGGAACCTGAGACACCTGGGAGAATTTGCTCTGAAATTTAGTCTTGCCAATGCTCTGAGAGTGGGAAACCATCCATTCAGTTTGCACATGATTTTCAACTTCAGCAACTGTAATAAAAGAAGCAGCTTCAAGGTGGGCGCGGTGGCTCAGGCCTGTAATCCCAGCACTTTGGGAGGCCGAGGCGGGTGGATCACGAGGTCAAGAGATCGAGACCATCCTGGTCAACAAGGTGAAACCCCGTCTCTACTAAAAATAAAAAAATTAGCTGGGCATGATGGTGCATGCCTGTAGTCCCAGCTACTCGGGAGGCTGAGGCCAGAGAATTGCTTGAACCCAGGAGGCGGAGGTTGCGGTGAGCCGAGATCGCGCCA